TTTGTTATTAATAAACTAAATAACTTATTACATAACAAAACTTTTTGTAGTTTAAATATTCCTAATACTACTAGAGGAAGGTAAATAAAATTCATAAGTGAACCATAATCTCTAACTAGAAAAGTAAACAAATAAGAAATAATTAGGAAAATGAAATTTAACTAAATCAAGTTTTCTTTTGTTTTGTTGCCATTTTTCATTCTGTGGTTTTCTGTATTAATTTGTGTTTGTACTTGTAAATGTGAAGACTGAAACAGTGGCGTTTTGCTTTAACAGATATGCGGTCGTTTTGATGTTAAGTGACCCCAATCCTGACAATTCATCTTGGCTTGATCCAACGGCTGCAATCTCACCATGATTTTGGTCAATGGTATTTAAGCAAGCAAGAATTTCTCTCTCATCTGATTGATCAAGTTTGGCTTCTAAAGATCAATTAGAGCAGTGTTAGGGTTTACTTTTTAGCTTTATCGAAATCTCTGTAATTTGGAGTTGAGTGGTTAGGGTTAATCATTCAGTGAGGGTTGGTAATCACTCGGTTGCTGTGGATTCTAGGATTAGTCTCTCTAGGGTATTGATTACGAGATTGGTAGCGATTTAAGGGGATTATCGGGTTTGATTCTTTAAATTTGCGTAATCTGTATACTCTGATTATTACAGTGCAGTGAGCTTCCTCTATTTCTGGAGCTCAACGTGGATGTAGTCTTTCCAATTCTTAGAAAGGCAAACCACAATAAAATTGTTCTTGTGTGATTCTTGTTCTTGGTTGGTTAAATTAGGTGTAGATTAGGGTGATAAATCGTTACAATACTCTTAAAATGCAGCAGCTAATTTGTAGTTGAGATTTGTGATGTGCGAAATCTAGCAAGTTGTAATTGTATTCTTAAAGAAGCCTTTCGCTTGTTCTATTGTTGAATATTGTTCCTTGTTCTATTGATCAATTTACCTATAGGACCACGAAATACCCTTAACTCATTTTGTTCTTCAACCCTCGACCATTTAATCACTTATCAACAACAAGCAAATTCTTAGTGAAAAAAAAAAAAAAAAAAAAGTTGAGTTTTTTGAGAATATCTTTTGAAGGGATGATTATAAATACTTTGAGAACCTATAACCTAAATTTGAGTGGTCTAAATATCACAGTTCTATTTCATAGTACATTACATTGATACATATAGATTTGGAGTTCTCAAATATTATAACAATAATAAAAAGAAAAAGAAAATAATTACATTTTTGTTGATATCTTTTCCTAATGAGTTTGGAATTTATTTAAAGAGGTTATTTGAATTTATAAGTTTTAACTTTGAACTCCCGTTTTTATTAGATTTGCATGTTTTAAGTCTAATTTGTGTACTTAGAGATGATATTTGAAAGAAAATAACAAATTTTACTTTTAAATTGAAAAAAAAAATTTACAATTTTATTACATTTAAATGTATTAAATTTTAATCTTTCTAAGTGTGAGATTGAGAAACAAAGGTTGAAAGAGTTTTAGAATATTCAGAACTTGTATTTTATTGACTGATTTCAGTTAATACAAGCTGAAACTACGATTGACTTTATATATAGAGAAGAGAGTCAACTCAGCTTAGTGACCAAGAGTAAAGACTATTGTACAAACGACGTTGTTTGCTTATTTCTTCACCTGCAGTTTTACAAAACTACCATCCTTACAGTCTGGCTAATATTCCCCCTCAAACTGGACCACAATTGCTGGTTTTTCTTCAAGACTTTGGTTTGTTGTCTTCAGACATTTCCTTCATATGCAGATTGGCTTCTTGACTACATAAGCTAATACCACACCGTTAGTCTAACCAAAAGAAAAACTTTAAACCACATAATGCTTCTGCACTTTTTCATTTTCAACAGCATAAAAAACAGCAGCTAATTCCTACCAACATTCATACCATACTGGAAGTTATTTCAACAGTAGCTTATACTCAACATTCATACCATACCACACATTACCTCTACATTATGCAACACATGATATAACACCACATTACCTTTGCATTATGCACCACATTGTACCTCAACATATAACACCAATAGCATATACTTAGCAATCATACCATACCATTCTGGAGGCTAATTGAATCAATAGCAACACATTATCTCTACATTATGCGACACATTGTACCTCAACATATATATATGACACCAATAGCATATACTCAGCATTCATACCACACCATTCTATTCACAGCAACATATTACCTCTCATCATCATTTTAAAACAGCTAACACCCATATGACCATCCTTTCATAGTTTATTAGTAGCCAAATCTGTATACCATATTGGCATATTTTCAACACAACACCTTACCATATCAGTCATGTTCCTATAATGCAGAACTTTTGTATATTTTTCTGCACACAATTAGTAGATTTCTACTGCTGCTTCAGAGATTAAGATGATTCTTGGCTACTGTCAACTTTAGCATCTGAATGTAGTACCTCAAGAACACAAAATTTGTGTTTTAATTCTTGGAACTGACTAATTGAAAGGGCCTTTGTTAGAACATCAGTAATTTGAAGCTTTGTAGGAACATATTACACAATGACCTTTTTTGTAAGAACTTGGTCTTAGATATAGTGAGTGTCGATCTCAATATCTTTTGTTCTTGTATGAAATACTGGATTTGATGCCAGTGCTCTAGCACTCACGTTGTCACACCAGATGACAGGACAAGAGTTAATTGACACACCTATTTTAGTGAACAAACTGTCCAACCATACCAATTCAGTTGCTGTTTGGGTTAGTGCTCTGTACTTAGCCTCTGTAGATGACAAAACAACCACTTTTTGCTTGCGAGAACTTCATTGAACCAGATTAGGACCTAAATATCCACTAGTAGACCGTCAGTCATCTAAATTACTTCCCTAATCTGCATCTACATAGCATTTAACATTGAGAGAGGTTGTTGGTTTGAATAACAACCCATGGAATTGAGTACCTTTAAAGTACCTTAAAACTCTCTTACAAGCCTACCATTGTAACTTAGTAGGATCCTGAAGATATTGGTTGAGTTTGTTTACTGTAAAACTAATATCAGGCCTAGTGAGGGTTACATATTGAAGGGCTCCAATAATACTGCTTCTATAGAGGCTAGGGTTTTTAAACAACTCACTATCAGTTGCAAAAAGTTTGATCCCTACTGCCATAGGAGTGGAACAAGCATGTGTCTCTTGCATCTTAGTTTTAACAAGTAAATCATGAATGTATTTGGTCTGTTTTAAGTACATACCCACAACTGACCTTGTTGTCTCCAAGCCCAAAAAAATATGTGACATCCCCAAGAGTTTTCAAGACAAATTGGTTGTTTAAATCTTTAAAAAGCTGAAGAATACTAGAAGAGTTGGAACCAGTTATTAAAATATCATCCACATATTTAAGAAATAAAGAACTTGAGAGTTGTCCTTCAGAATGGACAAACTTGAGTCAGATATTGAATTTTGAAATCCTTTGTGCACCAAGGCTTATTTCAGTTTTTCAAACCAAGCCCTTGGGCCTTACTTAAGGCCATAAAGAGCCTTGTTAAGCTTATAAACATATGAGGATAAGTGAGGAACCTCAAACCCCTCGGGTTGTCTCATATAGACAGTTTCATTCAAGTGGCCATTAAGGAATGCATTGTTCACATCTACTTGTTGAAATCCCAACCATAAGTGATAGCCAATGTAAAGATAATCCTAATAGTTCCTAGTTTAATAACAGGGCTGAATGTTTCAAAATAATCTAAAGCCAAGAGTTTGTTGAATATGAAATGTGTTCTTTAAAATAAAGAAAACCATTGGAGATGCTCTAAGAAAATAGAAAAAATTAGTTTTCTTTCCGTTTATATCCGGGAAGTATAATGAAAGATAAGATATTGATGTTAGTTTTTGGTAATTGGGGTGTTTGGTTTTCAATGATGGTACTCTATCTTAAAACTTATTTTAAATTTCACATCATAATGTTGTTGATATTTTCGTATATAAATAAAATGATGATTTATTAAATAATAAAAAAATATCACATATAGATACGAATTAGTTAAAATATAAAAATCAAAATAAAATTTAAGATGAATTACATTATATATGTGAATAAAATAATATTATTAGGGAATCATTTAGTACGTGAAATTGGGACATATCTTAACATTTAAATATTTAATGACGAGATATGCCTTAATATTTACATTTCATCACTTATCTGGAGAGGTGATAATATTTTAATATATACACTATTAAAATAATGGTATTAAAGTGACTTTATTCAAATATTTTAGATCAAAGATATACTTTATAGAATTGGTTGGTTCATGGATCTCTCTAAAACCTCGGACACTCAGCACGAAGCTTCCAAAAAAGAACTGTATTTTCTGTGTTATTCTCTTCTGCCGCGTTGCTTTCTTTCTAGAGTGGGCTGAAATTTTCAATATTGTTCGTATTAAATCGCAGAATCGATCGCTTTCTTTGAAGCGAGTACTCTTTTGGAGTTTCACTTAGAAGTTTATGCAACTGAAAGCGGTAAGTTCTCAAACTCTCTCGTATTTTTTAAATGTAATTTATGTTTTGTTTCTGTTTTAATTTCATGAAATTGAGGCTTCTACTTGGGCTTTTTGAGAGTAAAATAACGAGTTTTGATGAGATTAGCATGCTATGTATTGATCTTAAATTTAATTTTAGAGATTGAATATAAGATCAAAAATTTGACCACATAAATGAAATTAATATGCAATTGCATTGATCAGAATTGATCTTAAGTTTTTGATAAATTATGTATTATTAGTTTCTGTTTCCGTCTCAATACAATTTTTTGTTTTTTATTTTTTTGAAGTTAACTGTAATACCTGGTTTGCTTTTCAGAGTATGTAAGCATATCGCTAAACTCCTCAAGAGTCTCTCTTCAAGTAAAGTACGGTAATTTGTTCATCTTCCCAAAAAAAAAAAAATATTTCAAGAGTTCATTTGCACTTAAACTCAAAAAAGAATTTATCTTCAAGCCAATCACAATGGTCTCTTCTTCTGTTTGTACTGATCAAGTAAAGAATGATGTTTTCCTTAGTTTTAGAGGTAAGGACACCCGCAACAATTTTACCAGCCATTTCCATGCAGCTTTGTGTCGGGGAGGTATTAATGTTTTCATTGATAGCAAACTCCATAGAGGGGATGAAATTTTATCTCTAATGGACATAATCCAAGGATCGAACATTTCAGTTATCATTTTTTCAAAGGATTATGCTTCTTCCAGATGGTGTCTTGAGGAACTTTCAAAGATCCTTGAATGCAAGAACAAATACGGCCAAATTGTGGTACCAATTTTTTATCACGAAGATCCTTCAGATGTAAGGGATCAGGCTGGGATTTTTGGGGAAGCTTTTACTGCGCATAGAAAACACTTTAAAGTTCAGATGCAAAGGTGGAGGAATGCTTTGAAGGAAACAACCAATCTATCCGGTTGGCATTTAGATGGAACTAAGTAAGTGTACTAGCACTTAATAATTATTTATCACATAATACTATTGTATGTATGAAATACGTTGATTGTTGATCAATTCTTTAACTTGATATTTTCTCATGAACCTGCATATTATTTCTGTAGAAATTGAGCATTGAAATTCATTGGTTGAGGAATCTAATTGGATGACAAAGTACATTGCGCCGCCTATGATGAATTCTTTTTCAAGTTCTAGGTAGATTATTCTCCTTCGAAATTTAATAAACAAGGAGAATTCTTGTACCCATAATATGAATAAGAGTCAAAGCCTCAAAACAGAACAAAGAGAGATTAGAATGATATATTCTATGTTCTTCTAACTCTTAAGTTATAAAAAAAGACACAAACTTTATACATGAAAGACTTGAGTGCGGGGATATGAGCTAGAGATATTGTGGGGATATGAGAGAGCCTGAAGATAAATTTAATAATTGAATCCTTTGTATTTTAGTTATTCTCTTATCTAGTTAAATTAATACCTCTCTAGGCTTAATCAATTTTGATTAACCACATAAAAATTGGCTCTGTTTTAGTAGTTCATCATTTGTGATTTATTTTCAATTATCTTTCCTTAAATATTTATATTTGCAGTACTTTGTTTATTAAGTCCATTCAAACAAGATGTTAAAAATGGTTTGGAATTTCGTCTATCAATTGTTTGATTCAATTAGTAGATCAGTAGAAGAGTGTTATAATTTAAAACACAATAATAATATTGTTAATGCTTTTGACATCAATGTATATATAAAATACCTTAAATTAATTAATATAATTCTTATCGGTTTACAAATTTAAGGGTCAAATGTATTTGATCAATCCAAATTTTGATGTGTTTGAGCTTTACAATGAGTGTGGATCTAAATGTCAAGTTCCAAGACTTATGAGGTTGCTTGTAATTAATCTCAATTAGCTAAAGTGATGTCGTTTTGGCTTTACAATTAATGATTGCTAAACAGCAATTAATGTAATATCTGCTTTCTTTACCTTTGCTAATATATAAAACAAAGGTTTCCTTGTTTGTACTCACTTACTCACTCTCAATCAAAAACGATCTCTACTGAATTCTTTTGTCTCAAAATTCTTTGTTTTATCTCTTCAAAGTTCACATGGTATCAGAGTCCTAGACTAACGTCAATGGCCAAATCTTCTAGATCAAATCAATCTATTAACAACACGGAGAAAATGTTTCACAATTCCTGCCATAACTTCACCTCAGCTTTTCCTTCAAGTCTTCAAGTCATAAATCCCAAATTGACTCGAGACAATTACAGAGACAATTATCGATTTTGGAAGTCTCAAGTGCTTTCAATTGTTGGAGCTCATGGATTAGAAGATCATCTCATAGGTCTAATTTCTTGTCCTCCTACTTTAATCAATTCGGAAAGTAATGTTGTTACTGAATTAAGAGAAGTTAGCTCAAAGGACAATTTGATTAAAGAAGTTGAGAATCCAGATTATATTGCATGGAAAAGAACTGATAAGTTCCTCATTACCTGGTTGTTAGCCTTGATTTCTTAATGCATATTTGCATATGTGTCGAAATGTCAATCTTCAACTGCTATTTGGCTAACTCTTGAGAATGAATTCTTAAATGATTCCAAAGTGAGAGCTCTGCATTTGAAAAATTTGTTACAAAACACACAGAAAGGAAACTTAAGTGTTAGTGAATATGTTAAGAAGTAGAAGGAATAGCAGAGAATTTGTTAGCTCATGACCAATTAATTTCTGATGAGGATTTGCTTCAATTCGTTCTTGATGGCCTAGGACCAAAGTTTGATGATGTTATTGTTAACTTGACATCTAGGATTGAGTCCAAATTTGATTCTGAAACTCTTCAAGAAGCTCAATACCTGCTTCAAAAGTTTGAGATGAGACTTGAAAAGTTCAACTCTGTTGATTTTTAAAACAGTTTTGTCCATCTTGCTTCTATTAGTAATCTAGGACAACAGTTGATTGGTTCAAATGTCTTTTATAATCCAGTGCCTTTTTCTAGCTTGACATCTCTACCTCATACACCAAACTCTTATCCTTCTGGCATCAACTCTTTTGCCAACTCACTGTCACATCCACACTGCCCTTTACAAACTCAGGCATCTCATCCAGAAGTCACTCCATCATATCCTCTTACTGGCTCCACTGATCAGTATCACTACTTAACTCATATAGGCCAATATAGAGGTCATTTTCCACACAATAACTCACTTGGTTTCAATACCTTTGGAAGAGGTAGAGGTAGAGGTCGAGGCAGCAATAGCAGAGGAAAACCGATTTGTCAAGTGTCTATCATCGATATAACTCAACATACAATGGTATTCCTCCATCCTCAGGAGGTCACATTGGTCAACCAGTTGGGTCTGCTAATCATTTTCAACAAAACAGTGCACCACTTGGTCAACAGATTGGTTCTGCTAGTCAATCTCAACAAAACAATGCAATACTTGTTCCTTCTTGTGCCAGCAATATGCATACTCAGTTTACTCCCATTACTCAGTAAATACAATACTCTGCTCCTTCTACCTATAACTCTTCTCATGGAGTCAACCGGCAGCACAATCAGCTGCAAGAGTTCAGCAATTGTTATCAGCAACAACGGCATTTTGTTGCACCATAAGGAGTTAACTCGGTTGCATTTCAATACCCTGCTACCGTCACACCATGATTTAAGGTTCCCAAGCAACAATCTAGTGGCCCAGTCAAGCTTATCTGGTTGCTAATCAAACCTTTCTAGGACCTATTAACAATGGAGTCTCCAGGATTGTCACACTAGCTACTTGCCAAGATCTTACCTGGTACATGGACTCAGAAGCAACTGATCATGTCACTGCTGATTTAAGCCACCTAAATGTCTGTCACAACTATGATGGAGCTGATCAACTTCAAGTAGGCAGCGGTGAGTTTCTTCATGTCTCTCATGTTGGTCTTACTCTTTTACCTAGTGCTCTTAAATCTAAATGCCTTTACCTGAAAAATGTCTTATGTGTGCCTAGACTTACTAAAAATTTGCTTATCATTTCCAAGTTTACTAAGGATAACATTGTTGTGGTTGAGTTTTCTTCTGATTGTTGTATGGTTAAGGACAAAGTTACAAACATAGTGTTACTGCAGGGAGAACTTAAAACTAGATTGTATCAGTTGAACCTTTCCTCTATCCTGCCTTCCAAATTGACATCAGTTTGTTCACCCTCTATTTTTCCTTAGCTGCTTGCTTCCTTTGTTTCCAAGTCTTATGCTAGTGTAGCTAAGTCTAGTTGTCCACAGTCTAGTTCACAGTTAGCTTGTACTACTTTAAATAAGTCAAATGATGATAAGTCTAGCTGCTTTAATGTTAGTTCTAGTGATTTTGAAGTCAATTAAACAGTTTCGGCTGTGTCCATTAATGCAGATGTTTCAGATTGTATTAACACTAAACCTTGTTCTAGTGTTTGTAATCATCATTCTTTGAATAAAAGGTTGGATTGTTTCATTTGTTCAAAAGCTGATTCTCATAATCTGCACAATGACAATACTGATCATTCATAGATGCATGATATTCATATGCATAGTAATGCTGCCTGTTGTGTTGATAATTGTTTATATCCCTATTCAGCTTTAGTGTCTCAAACTAGTAATCCTCATGATCATGCACTTATGACTTGGCACAGTAGATTAGGTCATCCTCATGTTGAAATTCTTCAGAAAATATTACTTTAGGTGCCTAATTTATCATTGTCCAGATCTAAAACCTCCCTTTCCTTTTGTAATTCTTGTCAACTTGGTAAACTTCATAAGAATCACTTCCTTATTTCACACTCAAGAGCTACAGCTCCACTTGAACTCATTCACAGTGTTGTTTGGGGACCTGTCCTTTACTATCTTTAGAGGGCTTTAGATACTATGTCCAATTCATGGGTGATTTTAGCAGATTTACCTGGCTCTTTCCTTTAAGAACCAAAGCTGAAGTTGCTTTTGTTTTCATCAAATTTCATCATCTAGTAGAGAGACAGTTTAACCATAAGCTTAAATGTTTACAGTCTGATCAACGAGGTCAATACAAAGGCTTGATCTCATACTTGACCAATGTTGGGATACAATTTAGACATTCTTGTGCTTACGTCCCTCAACAAAATGGTAGGAGTGAGAGGAAGCATAGACATGTAGTTGAAACAGGTTTAACTTTGTTAGCTCATGCATTTATGCCTATGCATCTTTGGTGGTGTGCATTTAACACAATAGTCTTTTTTATTAATAGAATGCCTTTTTCTGTGTTAAATTTTGTTTCTCCTTATCAGGTTTTGTTTGGTATAGCACCTCTTTATTCTTCATTAAACAAATTTGGTTGTGCTTGTTATCCTTATTTAAGAGATTTTAATAATCATAAGTTTAGTTTTCATTCTTCAAAATGTGTTTTCATAGGTTATAACTTAGTCCACAAGGGCTATAAGTGTTTGTCGTCTGATGGTAGAATTTACATTACACCTTGTGTTAGATTTAATGAAACTGAGTTTCCTTATGTTAGTATCTTTAGCTCTCTAGTTTTCTCTCCTCTGCCATCTACTGTTTCTGACACTCGTTAGTTAAATTTCCTTTTATTTCTTCAACACACCAAACACAACCTACTAGGGGTGTTAAAAAGAACCGGTTGGAACCGGAACCGGAACCGGCGGGTACCTTGGGTTTGGTTCCAGTTCCTACCCAGAACCAGTCATCAATGGGTAGGTTCCGGTTCCAAATTTTTGGAACCGTTACTGTGCGGTTCTGTAACGCCCCACATGAGGTACGTCGTTATTGTTTCCTCTTTCGCTCTTATTTGAGTTGGGTTTTGGTAATATTGTTTGATTGAGTGTTGTGTTGAATGCTTGCCCTGAAATTGGTTGAAAATAGAAGAAGTTCAGTGTGCCAAGCTTCGCCGGGGCGAAGGAGAATCTTTGCCGCGGCGAAGATGTGTTGAAACCACGGGGAAACTCTCTGGACAGTTTTGCCGCGGCGACAGAAGTTTCTTCGCCGCGGCGACAGGCCGATTAAAATGTTTGTTAAGTTTTAGATATTTTCTTCCCTAAGGGCAATTTGACCATTCTACCCCTAATTAGTAGGAAAAGTGGGGAGTAAATTGTAAGGATTTTTCATGGAGAATATGTTGATATAGGGGTGAGTTTGTAATGAATCAAAGGATATAGATGGAATTTCCAAAGAAGAGTAAGGGCAAAATGGGAATGATTGTGTATAAATTTCATTAAAAGGAATTAAGAGTTAGCAAACCCCTCATTCTTCTTCTCAAAAACGCAACTCTCCATTCTTGTTCCTCTCAACTTCTCTTTCTTTTTGATCAAGGAGTTCTAAGGGGTTTTTGAAGTGAATTGGGGTAGAAAATCAACTAAGGCTTCCTAAGGTAAGAATTCCTACTTAAGTTGTGAGATTTGTGAATTTTAGTTTATATTGAAGTTTGAGGGTTTTTGTTCTTTTGGTTAAGAGTAGAGGAAAAGTCAAGCAAAACAAGTGAAAGGAAAAGTTGGTGAAGTCTCTCCATAACAAGGTAAGTAAATCCCAACCCAAGTTGAGATTTAAGAATTTTCTTGATTAGGATTTTGATAGAAATGATGTATGTATGTGATATACATGTGATATGCCATGTATGGAGGTTTAAATATAGATTTCTATGCCTTGTGAATGTTTACACCTTGCAAATATGAGAAATAAGTTGTTGGGTTGGAAAGGTAGTTTGAGATGGAATTGAAGGGGTATTGTGGATCCCTTTTTAGAAGTGTTTTATTTGACAAGTTTTATGGTTATGTGAAGGGGTTTTTCCCCATTTTGGATAGTTAGAAAAAGTTTTAGAATCATTGCTATAGTAGAGTTTTATAGTGCACTTGAATTGTTTGATGAAATGCCTAATAGAGGTTTGAGTGTGAAAAGTGAACCTTAATTCTTGCAACATTGCATGTTGATATTTCATAAGTGCATTGGTGGGGATGAACCATCCATAGGCACTAATTGTGCATTGAAAAGTGACCTAAGAGAGTGTAGGAAACTTGTGTATACAATTACTCTATGTGTATACAATTACTCTATGAGTAGAGAGCTTGGTGGATGCAACTACTCTAAGGGTAGAGAGAATGAAAAATGCTAGAATAGAGTGAATTAGAAGAGTAGAATAGATGGGTTGATGCTTTGTGATCATCACCCGACAGTTATGAGAATCGGGTTGATGCTTTGTGATCACCACCCGAATAGCCCTTAGAGATGGGTCGATGCTTTGTGATCGTCACCCGATGAGTAGTAGAAATGGGTAGATGCTTTGTGACCACTACCCGGTTAGTTGTTAGATAAGTGGGTTGATGCTTTGTGATCATCATCCAACATTTAGTAGAAGTGGGTTGATGCTTTGTGTCCATCACCCGACAGCGACTAGAGACGGGTTAATGCTTGGTGATTGTTACCCAAAAGTCATGAGAAACGGGTAGGTGCTAAGTGGTCTCCACCCGATAGTTAGGAAAACCGAGTAGGTGCTTTGTGATCCCCCACTCGGTAGTCACTAAGAACGGGTTGGTACTGTGTGAATTCCACCCGATAATCATGGAGAGTGAGATGGTGCTGTGTGAACGCCATCCGGCCATACCTCCGGTAAGATGAGGCCGTGATGTTTAGTAGGAACAGAAATAGAAACAGAAATAGTATAAGGAAAGAATTAAGAGTTATACATACGGGGACAGACAGATAGAGGGTTTTACTTACTGAGCATTATTTTGTGCTCACCCCGTTATTTTCCTTTGTGGATGCAGGATCTAGGTGTTAATGCAGTCGGAGGGGCGTCGGCAAGCGAAGAGAATAGCTACACTGTTTCCCCTGTTTTGTCTTTTAAAATGAATTTTTGTAAACAGTACTCTTTGTGTATAAAAGACATATAAATTGTAATGAAAAGAAAACTTTGGGCCCAATTTTCTATTGTTATTATGCATGCATTGTACTAGTTTTCAGCAGATGTTACAGGTTCCGGTTCCGGTTCCTATAGTTAGGAACCAGAACCGGAACCAGGAACCAGGAACCGAGACTAATATAAAATAAAATTAAAGATTATGTGTTTTAATATAAACTTTTGTAGAAAAAGTAATGTGAATACATTTATATTTATATTTCATAACATTTAAAATAAGTTGGTTTGACTTTTGAGAATCTACCTTTACAAAGTAATGGAGTTTGTAATTTTGAATACATTTATATTTATATTTCATAACATTTAAAGTAAGTTAATTTGACTTTTGAGAATCTACCTTTACAAAGTAATGGAGTTTGTAATTTTGAATTTATAATTTGTAATTTTATTTTTGTTAACAAGTGCCAGGTGGGGGGGTATTTGTAAGTTTTTAAGGGGATTTGTTGCCATTTTAAAAACTTTTAGGGGGTCATGTAATTTTACAGGGTACCCAGAACCGGAACCGGAACCATTGTTATAGGTTCTGATTCTGGGTACCTAGGAACTGGAACCGTCGGTTCCGATTCTGGTTCCAAATTTCAAGGAATCGTCGGTTCCGGTTCCGGTTCCTTCAAAAAGTGCAGGGTACCCGGAACCGAACACCCCTACAACCTACAGTAACTGATAACCATCTAACCTTCGACCAAATTCCTACCACAGCTTCTCTTAAACACCAGTCACAGCCCAAAGAACCTGATACACATCCTTCCTTTGAATCAACTCCTACTGAAGTTCCTCCTGCAGTATCCTGTCCTATAATCAATTATGCTCCAGCAATTGGTAAGCACACTCTTTCCACAACATCTGATATTCCTATTCCCTTATCATCCTCTTCTTACACACAATCTCCTTTACCATCATTACAACCTTTGTCTTCATCTCCTTCACATTGTACTTCCAACTCTTCTTCCAATACTACTTGTTCACAACTACCCTTTCCCAACTGTTCTCTTGAAGTAGACTTAACAGATGCACAATTTCTCACTTCTTCTCTTAAACCTGCTGATTCTCCACCATCCTGCCATCTTGAAGTTGACACTTGTCTCTATCACAGTTTGCTATTACATCAAACACTTCTACTTACATGCAAACACACACCCAATGGTGACTAAAGCCAAAGCTACTCAACCCAAAACTGCTCTCCTTACATCAAATCAACCATCTGTCCAATCTGAACCCATTTCTATTAAAGAAGCTTTAGCCAATAATGAGTGGAGAGAGGCCATGAAAATTGAGTTTGATGCACTGGAAAAGAATCACACTTAGACCCTTGTTCTAGCCACTGTTGATATGAATATAGTTAGGAATAAGTGGGTTTTCAGAACCAAATTCAATGCTAATGGTTATCTTCAAAAGTATAAATTCAGACTTGCGGCTAAAGGGTTTCAACAAACCCATGGCTTAGACTAGTTTGAGACCTCCAGCCTTGTTGTGAAGCCATCCACTATAAGAATTATCATTACTCTTGCCATTTCCAATGGTTGGACATCCAACAAATAGATGTCAATAATGTCTTCTTGAATGGTACTCTTAATGAAATTGTCTTCATAAAGCAACTAGAATAGTTTCTTAATCCTCAACTTCCTACATTTGTATGTAAACTCAATAAAGCCCTTTATGGTCTCAAGCAAGCACCAAAGGCCTGGTATGACAAGTTGAAGCAGACTCTTTTGAGTAAAGGTTTCCATAATTCAATTTCTAACACTAGCCTGTTCATTTTGCATCATGATGGCCAAATGATCTACTTTCTTATCTATGTCGATGACATTTTGATTACTAGTAGCCATACTCAGTTTATCAATCAGTTAATTCATAACTTGAATGCTCAGTTCTCTCTAAAAGCTCTCGGCACAGTTAATTATTTTCTTGGTATTGAGGCTACTAAAGCAACTCACAGTCGTCATCTTAAGCAAACCAAGTATGTTTCAGATTTGCTTGTCAAAACCGAGATGTCAAATGCTCGTGCTTGTCCTTCACCGATGACTGTTGGCACCAAACTTTTCTCCACTGGCAATGGTGTGTTCAAGGATCCTACTCTTTATAAAAGCACCATCAGAGCTTTGCAATACTTAACAATAACCAGACTTGGCATAAGCTACACTGTTAATAAGCTTAGTCAGTTTCTTCAAGTTCCTACTGAGCTTTAGTGGCAAACCTGTAAAAGAATGCTTAGATACCTCAAGGGAACTCAAGATCATGACCTACTTTTTAAACCAGTAGCCTCATTGTGTGTTGAGTGCTATGTTGATGCTAATTGAGGTAGCAATCTTGATGACAGGAGGTCTACAACTGCTATTGTGTGATTTTATGGCCAAATATTATCCAATGGAGCTCTAGAAAACAGAAGGTTGTTGCTTTGTCTTCTATAGAGCTAGAGTACAAGACTTTGGCTCACACAGCAACTGAAATTGCTTGGCTTCAAAGCATGTTCTATGAATTGGCGTTAACACTTAATACCTTTCCTGTGGTGTGACAATATTAGTGCTGGGCCCTAGCAGCAAACTCTGTTTTTCATGCTCGCACCAAGCATATTGAATTGGATGCCCATGACATTCGGGATCAGGTCATTGCTAAGAAGCTAGTTGTTCAATATGAACCCTCTTAATTATAGATTGCAGACATTCTCACCAAGGCCTTATCTATCACTCAATTTTAGTGCTTAAAAGAAAAGTTGATCTTGGTTATTCCTAGTAGTCAGCTTACTACTCATTTTTGCAGTGCTATTTTTTTTTTCCCCTAATAAGCTGTGTTGCTTTGGTGATCAGCCATAAAGTTCAGCATTGTTTGCTTTGGTTGCCTACAAGAGGGTCCAGCATTACTTCTTGTTGCTACTTTTTCTCTTATCTTGCTTGTGTCAAAACATCAAAAGCTTTGTTGTTTTTTGGTGAGCTGTAAGGGAGTTCAATATTGCTTGTTTTGTTGCTGCTCCTCCAGTAATGCAATCATCAGAAGTTTGTTCTCTGTTTGCCTGTTGCTTCTTCTTCTATATTTTTCATCATCAATAGTTTCATGGATATTGTTGTTGTTTGTTCAGTATCTGGTTTTCAAGTCATCAGTTCCCAGCCTTGTTTGAGGGGAATGTGGATTGAATCATCAGAAGCCAAGTTACCATTCCCAGCTTTGCTTGAAAGGGAATGTGGATTGAAAAATCAAAAGTCAAGTTACCATTCCCAGCCTTGTTTGAGGGGGAATGTGGATCTAAATGTCAAGTTCCAAGACTTATGAGGTTGCTTGTAATTAAGCTCAATTAGCTAAAGTGATGTCGTTTTGGCTTTGCAATTAATGATTGCTAAACAACAATTAATGTAATATCTGCTTTCTTTACCCTTGCTAATATATAAAGCAAAGGTTTGCTTGTTTGTACTCACTCTCAATCAAAAACGATCTCTACTGAATTCTTTTGTCTCAAAATTCTTTGTTTTACCTCTTCAAAGTTCACAAGATTATCTGGTCACAATATAAGTAATTACTAGTAAATTACTTATATTATTTGTGCTAGGTTTTAACCAATAACATTGAAGAGATTAGAGAAATTTTTCAATTTCATGGATTAAAAAGCAACAAATTCGAGTTAAATTTTGGATTGGCTTTGTTCCTTTTTTTTTTTTAATTTAATTATACTTACTATTGTTTCTTATGTTTGTTTGACAGGTCTGAATCAATACTTATGGAGAAAATTATTCATGATATTTTAAAAAGATTGAAATATATGTTCTCAACTGATAACAAGGACTTGGTTGAAGTAGAATCAATGATCGAAAAAATTGCATCTTCATTTTGGACGGGGATCAATGATGTTTGCAAATTAGGAATTTGGGGCATTGGTGGTATAGGTAAGAAAACTGTTGCTAGTGCTGTATATAACAAAATCTCGAGTCAGTTTGAAAGTTCTTACTTCACTCAAAATGTTAGGGAAGAATCAGAAAATCCTAATGGACTAACCCACCTGCATGAAAAACTTCTTTCAACTATATTAGAGGATAAAAATCTTTGCATTGGTACTCCTAATATGGGAAATCCATTCATACAAAGTAGGCTTCGTAATAAGAAGGTTTTCATTGTTTTTGATGACGTGATTTCTTCCGAACAAATAGAAGTATTAATTGGAGATCTTAAATGTTTGGGTTTTGGTAGCCGAATCATCATTACAACTAGAGATAAACAAGTGCTAAGAAATTGTGAAGTTGATCAAATATACCACTTTGTTGGATTATTTGGTAGCCACGCTCTTAAGCTTTTTTGTCAATGTGCCTTTAAACAAGAAGATCCCTTGATAGATTATAAAGAATTGTCAAAAAGGGCAGTAAGATGTGTAAAAGGTGTTCCATTAGCTCTCAAAGTCTTAGGTCGGCATCTCCAAAATAGGCAAAGGCAATGTTGGGAAAGTGCATTGGATGAATTAGAAGAGTCTCCTCATATGGATTTCCAAAGAGTACTAAAGATAAGTTATGATGGACTGAATTATAAAGAGAAAGATTCATTTCTGAACATTGCATGCTTCTTCAAAGGATGGAATGAGTGTGTAGTCAAAGAAATAATGGATTCTTGTGGCTTGCGTGCACAAATTGGGATAAGTGTTCTCAGTGATAAGGCTCTTATAACTATATCAAACAACATCATTACTATGCATGATTTACTTCAAGCAATGGGTAGGGAAATTGTTAAGCAAGAATCTATTCATGAACCTGAAAAACGCAGTCGATTGTGGCATCATAACGATATCTACCGTGTATTAACATATAATATGGTGAGACTAAAGGAATTTAACTTCCGTATGTGTGTGTGTGTATGTGTGTGTATATATATATATATATATATATATATTGACATGTCTATTATAAGAGATATACACTTGACTCCTCGTGCTTTCTCAAATATGCACAATTTGATATTCTTGATTGTGTATAACTCAAACAAAGAGATGAATAATAAGGTGCATGGTTTTCATTGCCTTCAATCTAATTTTAGAGAGTTAAGGTACCTCTGTTGGCATGAATACCCAGAGAGATCGTTGCCATCAAAATTTAATCCGGAGTGCCTTGTTGTACTCAAAATGCTGCATAGCAACCTTAAACAACTTTGGACTTGTGTTGTGGTATGTGTTGCTTCAATTTGATAATGTTAATTGTTTTGTAAAATTCTATATATCAGATTTTCTAATTTTTATGCATTTTCATCTTCTTTTTCTTTTGTCTTCCTTTTTTTATTTTTTTTTAACAGAATCTTGCAAATTTATAGTGTATAGACGTCAGCTTCTCCTGTCATCTGCTCAAAATCCCAGACCTTTCTCATGCCACAAATCTTGAGAGCTTGATTCTTGAAGGCTGCAAAAGTTTGTTAGAGATCACTCCACCGTCTATTCAGAATGTCAATTCGCTTGTTAGTCCGAATCTAAGAAATTGCAAAAGCCTCATCAGGCTTCCTATTGCAATTCAATCAAAATCTCTTAGATTTATTATTCTATCTGGATGCTCAAATCTCATGACAGCTCCAAGGATTACTTGTAATATGGAACAGTTGTGTTTGGATGGAACAGCAATTGATGAGTTTTCCTCTTCGATCGAATATCCTCCTAAACTAGTTGAATTGAATCTTGAGAACTGTTCAAAGCTTAAGAGTCTTCCCAACAACTTTTATGAGTTGAAATCTCTTCGACGTCTTGTTCTCCGGGGTTGTTCAAATCTCAAGACTATTTCAAAGCTACCATGTGAAATAGAAGAATTAGATTTAGATGGCACTGCAATTAAGGAATTGTCTCCATCAATTAAGCATTTATCTAATCTATTCCATTTGAGGCTTACAAATTGCTCAAGCCTTGAGAGTCTTCCGGACGGTATTTCTAAGTTGAAGTCTCTTAAATATCTTGATATCTCTAGTTGTTCAAAACTTGACAGATTGCCTGAAGACTTTGCAAATTTACCAAGTTTGGAGGTGCTAGAAGCTGATGAAATTCCTGTAAAAGATGTGTCATCAATTTTTTGTTTGACCAAACTTGGTAGATTATCTTTGGACAAATGTAAGAGTCTAGATCTGGTGGGTTCGCTATCACCTACTTTACCAAGTTTGCAATTTTTATGGAGTTTAAATTTAAGTCATTGCAATATCATAGAGTTACCACACAGCCTTGGGCTGTTATCATTGTTAAAAGAATTAAAGTTTTGGGAACAATTTTGGGAGCATACCAAAGTTGGGAACAATTTTGGGAGCATACCAACAAGCATCATGAAACTTCCTAAGTTGTTGTTGCTTGACTTAAGCTATTGTAACAAGCTTCAATTCTTACCTAAACTCCCATGTAATATAGCATCTCTAGTAGCACATAGTTGCACATCCTTGCAAGCGTTACCATGTTTCCCAAATCCTGCAGCCCGGGCAGCTAGCTTCATAAATTGTTTAAATTTGGGTTTGAATTCATCCAGCAACGTAGCAGTCAGGCCTACACTGTTGGCAAATATGGAGGTCCTTTTCTCTCTCTCATTTCATATGATTTCAACATCTTTCTTTCTTTTTTCAAATGAAAAAAAATGACATTAACTATTTTTGTGGTACAGGTTGTCCTTTCAAGGAGTTCTATTATTTATCCTGGAAATGAAATTCCAAAGTGGTTTACCATTCAAAGTAATAGACATTTTATAGAGCTACCAGGAGGTTCATTTAATAATATTATTGGTTGTGCCTTTTGCGCCATTTTAGAATTCAAAGATTACCATTATAACAACCAAGAGTTGGTTGTTAAATATTTATTCGAAACGGACGATGCTTGGGAGACTATTTCTCAACCTCAACTGTCTAAAGGATGTTTTTGGGCTTGGGGTAGAAGAGGAGGACCCAATTATATTGAGTCCAATCATGTATGCTTGGGATATAAATTTGATAATTTCTCGTGTGATGCCAAGGCCACGATAATCTTCCAAGTAACCAATGATTTCAGTAGCTCTAGGCCATCAGAGTATTGCAAGATAAAAACGTGTGGGGTCCATTTCTTTTCCGAACAAGATTTGCCAGAAGTTGTGGAAGAATCTACATCCGGAAGATGTTTATCTATGATGAGGAGGAAAAGAAAGAGGTCCAAGACATTGAAATTTCAAAATTTCATTAACGGCGAACCTAGTTCAAGGTAATTCTCAACTATTAGTTTTATATTGCACTACAACTCAACACTATATTTTCTTTTTCTTGTTTTGAAAAAAAAAAATTATGAATGATTTTATTTTAAATTGGTGTGCAACATCATCTATATGTTCAGATGACTTGGGTAATTCACGACTGATAATAAAAATATAGTAAGTCCCAATCAGAATTACTATCTTTTATTGATGATGACCACATGTCACTAGAATTTACACTTAACTCTAATTCTTTACGAAGATATTGTTTATATACGCCTTTTAAATGAAATTTGTTACAAACAGAGAACTGATTGTAATTTTCTTATATTGTATTAAAAAATTATACATCAATATATAGGAAAATAAAGAACTAAACTAGGAAACAAATAATCTAATCTAGGAAATGAAAAATCTAACTTCCTATTTTACAGATTTGTTCCTAATATATATTGATTACAATCCTAATATTCTATTATAGATTTATACACTTAATCATGCAATATCTGTAAGATTTTGCATGATCATCTAGAACACTCCCCTTCAAGATGGAGTATAGATGTTAATCATGTCTAGCTTGTTACAAATATAATCAATCCGAACCTCATTCAAAGCTTTAGTGAAAACATCTCCTAGTTGCTCTCTAGTCTTCACATATCCTGTAAAAATTAAACTTTGCTGTATTTTCTCACGAATGAAATGACAAGCAATTTCAATGTGCTTAGTTCGTTCATGAAATACGAGATTAGAAGCAATATGAAGAGCGGCTTGGTTATCAAACTACAATTTCGCTGGCAAAGAGGTCATAAGACCAACTTCAATCAAAAACTGATATATCCATATTACTTCACACACAGACTGAGCCATAGCCCTATATTCCGATTTTGTACTAGATCAGGACATAACAATTTGCTTCTTACTTTTCCATGAGACCAAATTTCCACCAACAAAAACACAATAGCCTGCAGTGGATCGCTTATCTATCTTGGGACCCACCCAATCTGCATCAGAGAAACACTCAATATTATTATGTCCATGATTTCCGTACAAAATACCACGTCCTGGAGCTCTTTTCAGATAACACAGAATTTGTTCCTGCCCAATGGTCAACCGTAGGAGAAGACATGAATTGACTTACTACACTAACAAAGTATGCAATATCAGGACGAGTGACTGTTAGATAGTTCAACTTTCCAACCAGTCTTCTATACCTCTCTGTTAATAAGTCAAGTACATATTTCCTTTAAGAGAGAAAGATGTCTTTCTTGCTCCTTGTTACCTCAACCCCCAAGAAATACTTCAACTCTCGAAAATCTTTTGTATGAAACTGGGTGTGAAGAAATGACTTAAGTAATGAATTCCCTGTAGTGTCACTCCAGTGATGATAATGTTGTCAACATATACGACAAGAAGAATAATGCCAACTGTCGATTGTTTGTAAAAGACTGAGTGATCAGACTTGCTTTTTGTCATTCTGAACTTTTCAATTACCTGACTGAACTTTCCAAACCAAGCACGTGGACTCTGTTTCAAACCATACAATGATTTGCGAAGATGACAAACTTTCCCATACTCCCTCTGAACAACAAACCCAGGTGGTTGCTCTATATATATAGACTTCTTCCTGAAGGTCACCATGTAAAAAGATATTTTTTTTGTCCAATTGATGTAATAGCCAAGAATGAGTAGCCGCCATAGAGATAAATAAGCGAACAGAAGTTAATTTAGCCATAGGGGAAAAAGTGTCAGAATAATCCACTCCATAAGTTTGAGCATAGCCTTTAGCTACAAGATGAGCTTTAAGCTTAGCTATTGACCCATTAGGATTTACTTTAACAACAAACACCCATTTGCATCCAATAGGTTTCTTTCCAATAGGTAAGTCAACCAAGGTCCAAGTACCATTAACATCTAAAGCATTCATCTCTTCAATCATAGCATCACACCAACCAGAATGAGATAAGGCTTCTTTAACAGTTGTAGGAAGGGAGACAGAGTCTAGTGATGCCACAAAAGAACAAGAAGAAGATGATAGGTGACAGGTGATCATAAGAAACAAATGAAGAGATAGGATAAGTACACTGACGTTTACCTTTCCGAAGAGCAATAGGAAGATCAAGATCACTCAAGGCTGGATCCAACGACGAAGAGTCTTGGGCAGGACATGAATTCTGAGGGTCTTCTTGACGAGGAACACAGGTTTCTGGATCACTGGAGACTGGATCTAACAACGAAGGGACTGGTATAGGAGGTTCTTATCGACGAGAATAGACAATGCGAATTAGAGGTAGTGGACGGACAGGAGGTGGTGCCGGAGGACGGACAAGAGGTGGTGCCGGAGGAGGAACAGTAGGTGGAGAAGCCTCAAGTGTAGAAGTAGCCGGTAGGGATGTGGTAGTATAGATTAGTAAGTCATCATCCTCCCCCTGACTTGTATAGGTAGACGAAGTAGGAAAAAAATGGGTGTTTTCTAAGAAAGTAACATCAGGTGACACCAGATATCTATTAAGACTAGGACAATAACATCGATATCCCTTCTAAAGGCAAGAGTACCCTAGAAAAACACATTTAAGAGATTTGGGATCTAACTTGGTTCACGTACAAAACAAGCACTACCAAATATCTTTGGTGCAATAGGAAACAAAGGCTTAGACGGGAAGAGAACACTGTAAGGAGTGGAATCATTCAAAATAGATTAAGGCATGCGGTTAATTAGAAAACAGGTCGTGGAAACTGCATCGGCCCAAAACTGGTTAGGAACTTGCATTTGAAATAATAGGGTTGGGGCGATTTCAAGAAGGTGTGTCAACACAAGAGGATTGATGAAGAATGCCATGCTGACTCATATAAGACTGAAAAGAACTCGAAAAATATTCTTTGGCATTGTCGCTTCTTAATGTTTGGATAGAAGTATTAAATTGAGTTTTGACTTCAACACAAAAGACACAAAAATGAGAAAACAACTCAGAACGATTTTTCATTAAATAAAGCCAAGTTACACGAGAGTTGTCATCAACAAAGGTAACAAAATATTTAAATCCAGGTTTAGACATAATAGTACACGGACCCCAAACATCTGAATGAACTAATTCAAAAGGGAGACTAGCCCGTTTATTGACTCTTGGACTTGAAGGAAGACGGTGGTGTTTGACAAATTGACATGACTCATAATCTAACGAAGATAATTTATTAAACTGAGGACATAGTTTTTTTAACAATGGTAAAGAAGGATGTCCTAACCGACAGTGCGCCTCAAAAGGGGTAGAAATATTGGAACATGCAATGGTTCTGGGCACCTGTGTGTCAAGGATGTAGAGCCCTCCAGATTCATGTCCTTTACCAATAATCTGCCTCATCGTAAGATCCTGAAATAAGCAATGATCAGGGAAAAATGAGATGCAACATTTAAGAGCACTAGTGATTTTACTCATAGAAATTAAATTAAAAGCGAATTGTGGTAGACTCAATACAGAGGATAGGGAAATTGACAGAGTAGTGTTAACATACCCAGACCCAAGAACATAAGAAGTTGACCCATCAGCTAAAGTAACATTAGACGAGGAATTATGTGACTGATATTTTGAAAAGAGACTAGGATTACCCGTCATATGATTTGTGGCACTAGAATCAATGACCTATTTAGAGGATGAGGAAATAAGACATGTATTTGGTTTACCTGACTCGGTGAGAGCAATGACGGAAGTAGATGAGGACTTCAATGATTCTTGGTGCTGAGAAAACTTGGCAAACTCATCAATTGAAATCACAACCTTCTTTGCAGAAGTATCAGTAGTGGCAACATGAGCTGATTGAGTTTTCTGGGTCTTATTTTGCAACTTTCTACACGTGCGCTTTGTATGACTGGGTTCATAACAAGAGTAGCAAACAATCCCTCTTGACTCCTAACTCAGATTATCACGATAATTCAAACCCCCTCCTACTTCTATTATATGAGCATCTGGTGTCATTATTCTGACTTACAAGAGCACTACTTGAACAGATGGAGTGCTTTCTGTATGAAAAACCCTAGTAAATATGTTTGGGAGGGAGGTGATCTCAGAATTGGCGAGAACCTGAGATTTAGCAAATTCAAATTCAGAAGGGAATCCAGTTAGGAAACTCATAACCGTCATTTTCTCTCGTTGAGCTTGTTGAAATTTCACAACAGCACTCACCGGTAAAGGGATGTTAAGTTCTTCATATATCCTTTTAAAGTCCATAAAATAGGCCGTAAGAGACCTATCGTGTTTCTCTGCTCGATAAAAAGCTTTGCATACATCAAAAATATGAGAAACATTCCCTTTCTCAAAATACAAAAAATCTAGATAGTCCATCAACTCTTTCACATATTCACAATGATTAATTAAACCAAGTACCTCACTGTTGATGGAGTTTCGTATCTGCAACAACAACCGGGCATCCTCTCTCAACCATGTTTGCTTTGAATCATCTTCAGTCGGATCTTTTGTGAGATGATCATCTTTACCAATGCTTCGCAGGTAAAGACGAATTGTCTTACTCCAATCAAAATAGTTATCAGACCCATGAAGCTTATGTTCCGTAATTTTTAACATTACAGGAACCATATCAATTATAGGCTTATCAGCCATGGTAAGAAGACGAAAAATTAATCTCAACACAAATAGCGAACACAACTTACAGATGAAAATCAACAAACCGACCTTAACACAAATAGTCAACAAAGCTCTTCAAAGAATGAAATCTGATACCAATAGAAACCAACAAAACTAATCTGACCTGGCTGAGATATTGAGGAACTGATAACACAAACTTGTCAAAAATAACAAGATGAAGCCGGGAAGGGTGATCAGAGCATTGTCCTCCGTCACATGCGCCCCTATGCATCGGCGCGTGAATATTGTCGTAGATGAAAAGGTGGTGCGTGAGACTCACGCGCTACTCCTCCAGTTATCGGACTTCAGGGAATGGTCGATAGACAGGAGGGGCTTCTTCCTAGGCAGGTGGTGAGAAAAAAAGGCCACTCTCCAGGGTGA